GCAGTTTATAAGTCATATGCATATGTGCGCTTGTCCAAATGTCACGTGTGACGAGCATTGACGTTACAAATGCAAATATCATACGCAGTTTCAGCTATCTTTGCAAACTGTGTTGAATATTTGCAGTGTCATTATTAAAACTTTTATTGTTTTGGATAATTAGTTATTGTTTCGATAAAACTATTCGTTTGGTTTAGATATTAATTTTAATTATCAATGCACAAAAAAGAAGGTAAGCTTTAATAATATGGATTAGTGGCACGAACGGCTACGACTATTAAACTATTAGTGGCACGAACAAAACTATAGCACGCTTTGTATTTTTTTACGAAAATTACAAAATTGACCAATTTTTGTAAATTTAAACGAAAAATAAAACGCAAAACAAATTTCGAATTTGAAACGCAAATCAAATTTTTTGCCAACGTAAGCGATGAGAATGCCGCTCTGGCCATAAGATCTACCTTTGATGCTCGAAAAAATCAATAGGGTTCATGAGAAATTGAATTCTAAATATGACTTTTTTTTAAAATTCAATATTACAGGAAGTATTTTTTACGTCTTATTTCGTAACTTAAAATATCGTCTGCATTAGTTAATTAGCGTATTTGCCGTCATCTCCTCAAACCATTAAGATGGAGTCCTAGAAAGAGGAGATCGTTCGATCAAAAGTTGTTCAAGGTGGTCCGTTCTTTTATTTTTCGTACAGTGCTTTATTTCTTGGGGGATATAAAAAAAAGGTACTGATCACTTAAATCGCAACTATTTGATAATTTTCAAACATTTCATAAATCACTGTCGATAGAAGCTTAAAGTTTAAAAGAACAAAATTCGTTGAAATGTGCTTTGGAATAAATAAAAATATTTCATGTAAACAAGAATTGTTTAAAGTAGTTGCAGTTAACTCTAATGAAAATGTAGTTTTTTCTTACTAATGTTCGAGAGATTCCTAAAACATTACCATCAGGGGTGAAAGCGAGACGGAAAAGAGAAAAGGCTGGTAGTAAAACAATTTCAGTTATTTTTGGGAGGAGTTAACTTATTCATTATTTAAACTATTTAACAATATATAGTTTAACTTAGAGGCGAAGCAGATTTATATATATGTTCAAATCCTAAAGAAATCTTGGTAGTTACAGATATTTTATTTAAATGCTATAATGAAATGTGTTGCGTACCAATTTTTCATCTTTTCCGTCTTGCTATATAAGGACTTTCAGCCATGATTACCATTGGTATTGCAATATACATTTCACACCCATCTCCCGGCTCAATATTGACTTTAGGGGGATAGTAGTTACGTCAACTATCATCTACAAAAAGGTAACCCATCTGTTAACATGTCTTATATGCTAGTGAATTGTAATTTTGTAGTGGTAGGCGCACTACAGTACTCTTCCACTAGAACTGTGATAGAATTCGATGAAAGGATACCATGAGTTGATTCATTACTGTTATATAAAAAGCCGGGAGAGCTGTATTAAGATCGCCGTACTTTTGAGTGCTGATAGTGAGAGTTGTATTAAGTTCACGGTCGCTCCTGTGCTGCCTTTAGCAGTCCAGTGAATACGCTGTGCATTGTGTGTCATCAGGACTGAGTAGTAACAGCGCGAGGAGGTGGGTAATGTCGCAGTCGCAAGTAGGCATGCTCAAATTGTAGTGGGCGTTTCTGTCAAGGTAGGCGTGTTCACATCTCGTCCGAAGGTCACCCATATGGGGGGGGGGAGTAGTTATCGCTAAGGTCAACATTCATTTCATCTGTGAAAAGGTACCCCGTCATAGAACATGTCTTATAAACTAATGAATTGGGATTGCAATTTTATTTTATTGGTAGAAACACTACAACTACAAATGTTGTAATGTGTTACTTTAATAATCATTTGAAGAACCTATATTTTTGTTCTGCAGAGCTGTGGGGGTGCAGATGAAGAGGAGGAGGAAGAAGAGGAAGGGGAAGAGGGACCCTCCATCCATGTAAGTATATAGTTTAATATTCAGTGGAAAATCCATGACCTTTACACTTGGCATATTTTAAACAGGCATTTTTCTTTCTCTTAACGCTGCTATTATTGGATAGAAAAAATTTGTTCGCATCATGGTAGGTATTCACCTCATATTTAATAGGTAGGTACTTCATTCATGTCGCACTAGGGCTGCTCAATGAGTTATTGGCGACAGTCTGAAAAACATCCCTGAGCATGATCCGAAGACATGCCTTCGCCATTCTGATCCTTTGCAGAGGGCACCACTGCTTTGGTAGCCCGACGACCTGCGCGTGAAGTCGAGCACTTTACGGTAGAACAGTTTAAGGAGGACCAACACCGCACACTCTTGGTCCCTACGCAGGTTAGTCAATGTGGTCATCCACCCACGCACTTACTTCAGCCAGTGATGTTTGACTTCGGTGTTCTACTGGGAATCGTGTCTTCACGATCAATCCACTGAGGAAGGTCATATTTAATAGAAGATTTCTTAATTTTTCTTCAACATTTTTCACAGTAAATAATGAAAGTAATATTTAAACATTACAAAAATGATTGGCAGGATTTAGTTAATTTTACGTTTGAGAAACTATGACAATCCTCGTTATCAAAAAATATCTATGTGACATCGAGTCACAGGCTAAGTTAGTAAATCCTGATCCAATTCTTACCTCGCCCCTTAAACCTTAGTGCAATTGGGACATTCTCCCCCGAAAAATTCTATTCTCACCCTTTTTCTTGGAAGAACACCTGGCGAGGTATCTGTGACGTCCACGTGAAACGGGCGATCTTTCGAGTTGCCATAACCGTGCTTGAGAGCGAGTTTTTTTAAAACACTGGCACTTCCATCAGAAATTGGGAATGGCACTAAAAAATAATAGATAATAACACCTCAACTCTCACATAATAGGGAATTATACTTTAACTTTCAAGCATTTCTATAAATAAGAGGAGCGAAAGACGCTCATTAGCATTCGATACCTGATCGTCAATTTAGATACGGCTCTCCTCTTATCGGATTTTTTTTAATCTCCCCCCTCACCTGAGGTCAGGGATAAAATTTAACATGGCGTCGTCATCGCCATTGTAGTGTTTCGTCACTGCCATCTTTTAAGCTTTAAACGTTGGCTTCCTCATAACCCAACTACATCCTCAACATGTTCTTTTCGACTACTGTTGCTACAACAGCCATGCTCATCCTTATATTCCCGTAAGGTTCTAATTGACTCTTCATTTTTAAAGTTCTACAAAGAAAAATTCCAGTTTTGTTTTTTCATCATGCTCTACAAAAAAATAAGATTTAAACCTTGGGAGATGTGAATGACGACACACGCCATTTTACGTGGATCGAGCTTACCGATCATTCTTGCTCCTTTTTTGTGAAGAATGTGTCATCCATTTGTTTTCAAACCACCAGTGGTTGACGGAAGTTTTGGTGCACTCCAATCTGCAAAAAGATCACTAATTTCTGTGATACTGATTACCTAGTATATTAAATTTCTGTTATACTGCCAGAGACTGTCCACCTACCAACTCTTAAAAAGATGATGCTGTGTTAAAAGTTAAGTGCCTTACATCTTCACGATTTGGACTCCTTCATCTAAGGATCATTTTTTACAGGTGATTTTATCTAGGCTAAGGTATGTTTTCTTGTTGTTTAGTAATTCTTGGCCAGCCTGGACTACCTCACGCGTCATGTTTTCTGTTAAATATGTAATTTTTAATCATTCACATTAATTATTTTTCAATACCCAACAATCTAAGCAGCACAATATAAGAAAAGCTTTATTTTCTTTCCCAGTTAAATGTGTTCGACGCTTCACCCTTTGTGTCACTCACTAGACAAACATATTTAATTTTGTAATCAAGTTCGTTACACGCATTCTGTAATTTCTTTAATGGTTTCTGCACAAATGTGCTTTGATGTAACTCTAACCTGAAGTGAAGATCTATGGGATTAAGTGCAGATCACTTGTTATGCGATGGCAGTGTTCATGAACCACTGTTTGCAAAGAATTCATCTGTGCCACAGTATGAGAACGACATTCTTCGTGTTCTTAAAGTGTTTTAGGTATGGGCGGCTTATAATTTTGAAGTCAATCCAGAAGAACTCCTGGATGAAGTATAAGGAGAAATGTGGTTCACCTCACCCGGTTCAGCCCATTGGAAGGCGAACGCTCTATCCCCTGAGCCACCACGGCTTCTTAATCTACGATTGAGATCAATCCCGTTTCATTTTCCAAGATTAGACTTAGCGTAGGTTAAATTTAAGGTTAACCATTCTAGGTTTCATGCCCACATCCCATTCTTACGGCATTTCTTCAGCAAGCATTTTCATTGGACGCTAAACGGGCACCTAAAAAACTGCGCGAGAGCTTTGACTCAATATCAAATATTCAAGTATTATTCAAGGATCAAGTATTAGAACATGCATTCTTCATGTTCTTGAAGTGTTTTAGGTATGGGTGGTGGCTTATAAACTGTGTCTTTGACCTTATTCAGTTGAAATAAATCACAAATCGTGAGATATCCCTGTGGCTGAGTCTTTTTATTTCAGAACCGGCATAGAAGCCAGAACCCAGTTTTGGGTTAATCGCTATCAATGTTCAACTGCGCAGCCTCTTAATCCACACCAGAAGACAAGGAAACTCCTGGTTCAAGCAAAATTAACCTAGGACTTTTTGATGTAACGTATTTGTGTTACATAGGGATGAAAAGCATGAAAAACTACCACGGATGGCGGCCCGTCAGCAAGGGACCTGTATTCGATATAACACTCAGAAAAAAAGAGGAAGGAGCAGTGGTGCCTTCCAATGGTTCGAATCCCATCGATGGCTGGCTTCTGCCCACAGTGCTCACGTAAACTATCCTCAGTGGTAGACGGATTATGGGTCAGAGACCCCTTGCCATCAAGCTAACCGTGGGTGGTCTTCTTTGTTTTCCTCTCTATATAACGCACATGCTCTCTGGTTCGTGGGAGCTGAAAGCAGAATTCGTATTGCTCAACCCAAGTCATCTTGTTTAGAAGCGAGTGCTCTATCCCCTGATCCATCCCAGCTCGTGGTCAAGTGATGAGGAAAAAAATCACCCGAATCGCCAAGACAGCGTATATGAACTATCGGTGAAAACAACTGAAAGACCACTCTGGGCATCACTTTAAATGAAGGAAAAAGGAATTTACTACACTTCTTCTATTCATTATTATTTTATGCATTCCAAAATCCCATACTCGGAAAATAAAATAAATATATTCATGAATTATATCGTCTTAATAGCTTTGGGGATGCGTTAATTATTATCAGAACCTTTGCGAAGAACTTGGCGAAACATTTTCCGAAAAAAAAACGCGTTTCTCTTTCTGTGGCAGAGAGAATTACTTAAAAGAAGATTTTCTCCTATAGTATTGGCATGATTTCGATATCAGAAATTAAAAACTCCACTCCACATTTTATCGTTTCATTTTTATAATTTAATAGTGGCCCTTAGACCCAGCTTCAATTATCATCTAAGATTCAAAAGAACCTTTTAAGATTCTTTTGAATCATAGATGATTTCTTTTGAATCTTATATAGACCTTCTTCTCATTTCATCTGTGCTGTGTGATTGAAAGATAAGTTTAATTGCTGAAACTAAATTAGAAAACTTTCAACCGTGTGAGTCTTCTATTAGAGCTTTCACTTTATTTTGTGCAGGAACAAGAAATGGAGAAGCAAAAGCTGCTGTTCCAACAATCGAGACTGGCGGACAGAGGAGTGGCAGAAATGACGCTACTTTACATATCTGCCTGCAAAGGTAAGAGTCAAATTGGTTAATAAATGAACCTTTGAAAGGAAACCCTTTCCTGAGGGGAATTATTTTCTTTGCAGTTAATTTCTTGGTTAACGGCTTCCTTTACCAATTTTTTTGAAGAAAAAAAATGCAAAATATCAACATATTTTTTATTTCATCACTAAGTACAAGGAACTAAAACAAAACATAATACACAAGTTCTAAGTTGAAATTTTAATTTGTTTTTATGTGTCAAAAATGTATGATTTACCATCTGTTTACTATCCCAAATGATCTCTGGTCAAATGAAAAAAGTTAAATATGAGTCTTTGTACAGGTTCACATCTTCATCATCTAAAAAAATCTTCTGCGTTACTTTCGCTCGCGAACGACATTTTTTTACTCTTTTTTTTCTGCATAAATTCACCCACCATCGTATATACACAATTGTACAAAACGCGTCTGCAGTCCCACACATAGCAAAACTCCCAAACAATAATTGGTAGACTTTGAATCACAGCAAATTATTATTTTTTGTTTTGCTACCGGCAGAATAAAAACGTGATTAAAACAAAAGGTATTGGCGCATTCTGCTATGCCCGAGTTGACTCGGGATAATAAATAGTTGTAATATACTACATACCCGAGTTAATTCGTTAGCCTACAAAAAACCAGAATCTGCTCATGAGTTGCATAATCTTCTTCTTATTTATTTTTAGGTGTTCAGAGCCCGATGACGATGAATACTCTTAAGCTTGGAATATCTATCCTAAAAGGAGGAAACGTTGACATTCAGAAGGTTGGATTCATTAAATAATCTATCATTAATCCTTCCTCAAATGATCCTTCCCTTATTATAGAATTGTCACTGTGACATAGTCGCTTTGGTCCGGAATATATACTAAGTCTAGCTTAGTGCCACTGCCCGGTATGCCCTATATACAGTACCCTTCCAAATTATTAGGGACACTTAAAATTTCTAAATAATTGTCATTTTTCAAAGTGTCATAATTTTTTCAAAAATTAATCAATTTTCATAAAAATTTCAGGATATCATGTTCAGGTCTTCTACTTTCACCTAAAAATTATTAATTTAATTTATCTCAATTTTTTGCAAAAATTTACACATTTGAACAAAGCAATTTTTTTTTAAAAAAGAAATGTCAAGTCTGACAAGTTGCTACTTTGTAACAAATTTTTTTGCATAAAAATTATTATTTACACATTAAAGTACAAGTCATTAATTTTAAAACGCGCTAAAGTAAATGACTTTACGATTTTTTGTGACTGAGATATGAGATTTAGAAAATTTTTTGTCATTTATAGTGAAAACGAAATTAATGTGAATTCGAAAATTATTTAGTATTTAGTATTATTTTTTTGCAACTTTCTTATTCGGATTAATTAAGTTTTTTTTATTTAAAACATTATTACAAACAAGAACATTATTTGTAAATTTGCAATAAAATTTTAAAAAACGACTCAAGAAAGTTAACTTTATTATAAAATTCAAAAACATTTTTACAAAAACAAATATAATAAAAAAATCTTAATATTTTGTAACATGTCCTTTTGCTTGTATAACTGCGTTTATTCTTCTTGGCATACTTTTAATACAAGCTCTTGCATTTGCAATAATATCTGGGCTATTCTAGGTTTCTTTCACCAAAAATACTGCCACAACTCACTTTTCACTATAAATGGCAAAACTTTTTCAAAATCTCATATCGCGGTCAAAAAAAATCGTAAAGTCATTTACGTTAGCGCGTTTTAAAGTTAATGTCTTGTACTTTAATGTGTAAGTAATAATTTTTATGCAAAAAATTTTGTTACAAAGTAACAACTTGTCAGACTTGACATTTTTAAAAAAAAAAAAAATTTCTTTGTTCAAAATTGTAAATTTTTGCAACACATTGAGATAAATTAAATTAGTAACTTTTAGGTGAAAGTAGAAGACCTGAACATGATATCCAGAAATTTTTATGAAAATTGATTCATTTTTGAAAAAGTTGCGACGCTTTGAAAAATGACAATTTTTTAGAAATTTTAAGTGTCCCTAATAATTTGGAAGCGTACTGTATATATTTTTTTTAAAAGTCAAGTGTTACTGTTCGATATGTATTTTACCGGTACTCCGAACACTAATGTTTCTCCTAATCTATTTTCAACAGATATTAAAGTATCGAATAAATATAATAATATGAACGAAGTAATTAGTATCAAATCGGATATAACAACTATTTCAAGCCAAAGCGACTATGTGATTATTGACATTCACCTTTGAAAGTCGACATTCTCTTCATTTCGGTCTATCACGGTAACAGAATCATGAGTATCTGAGAATAATTTTTGACATTTTTCTTGTGAGCTCGCTCACTCGAATCCCGCTAACATTCATTGATTAGTAAAGGAACAGTGTACGATCATAAACTTGGAATGATGCTTATTTATATTATCTCTCTTAGTCACCGAAAATCGGAGAGCAACCGATTATTACGATCCAGAAAGTAATTAGCCAGCACTGTGAAACGAAGCATTTGGAACTATAAAGTTTAAAAATATAAGAAAAATAATTGGTTTGCAAAAGCATGAATTAAAGTAAAAATATTAAAAACTAACGGGCTGGCAAAAGCATAAATAAAATAAACACATAAGAAGATAAATTTAAATAATAAAAGCAGACGATAAAAATAGAACACCAGATAGTTGTTGATTTTTTAGAATTAGTTTTGTGCGGAATTTGAGTTTTCAGAATCCCGTTACGGGTACTTTATCTAGTTGTTTTATAATATTTTATCTATCCCGCTACGGGTGAGTTTCCTTAAATTCCGTTACGGGTTTTTCTTGCTGTCTTATGATCTTTTCACTATTCCGTTACGGGTAATTTATATTTGTTACTGTTTGTGTTGTTTGTATATAAAAGTTTTTTGTAAAAAAACTGAACAGTTCTATATAGCTTGATACTCTACAGAACTAATCTTTATTAAAAAGAGAAACCGTCATATGTACATTTATCAGAGAGAGAAGATTACGCGATTTCTGTACATCCGCCTGTGATTCAAATTGAATTTACTATTGGGGATTTGACCAGCAAAAGGGTGTTTTATTTTATAACCGTCGTTGAACAGCCGACCCAATTTTGGGTTTACTACTAATGTTCAACTCCGTATCCTTATCATTTTGAACCCAATCCAGAAGACAAGGGAACTCGTGAATCAAGTATTAGCAGATATTTGCTTTCGTGGAAGACTTTTTGATGGAACTAACCCTCATTTGCGTTACATGGAGAGGAAGACCACGAGAACCTCCCACGGTTAGCCTGATGGCAAGGGGACTCTAATCCGTGATCCGTCTACCACTGCAGATATTTCACGCCAGCACTGTGGTCGGTACAAGCCGGATGCGGAATTCGTATTCCATCCATCGCAGAAATTCGAACCCAGTTCATCTCATTGGAAGGCGGATGTTCTATCTCCTGAGCCATCGCGGCTTAAAGGAGACGTTTGAAAAATACAAGTAATTAGGTGGGTGTAAGGAAGATTTAAAATCTGTCTTTTGCAAGGCATTGTCACGCGTAGTTCATGAATGAGACTTTAAAACTTACTTTTTTGAAAGGAACTTGGCTTACGTCCCTAAAATGTCCCGATTTTATAAAAGTGTCACACCTTCATTTCAGAGAATGTTGAAACATCTGAAGGACAAGAAAGACGTCGGATTTTTCACATCAGTAGCAGCTTTGATGAATTCCTGCAGGTAATTCCATTTCTTTTTCCTACTCTTTTTCTAAATGAATTGAGATTCTTAGAAAGAATATATCTTTTTTATTTAGCGTGTTGGATTTGGATGCATTTGAGCGAACCCAGAAGGCGGAAGGACTGGGTGTTGGATCAGAAGGGACTGCCGGCGAGAAGAACATGCATGACAAGGACTTCACGTGCGCCCTATTCCGATTCCTGCAACTACTCTGCGAGGGTCATAATCTGGGTACACTGGCTCTTGATTCCTTTTTTTTGTGAAAAGTCCACTCACTATATAAGATATTTAAGTTGAAATATATCTCTGGATAAATTTTTAGACGCACTATAAGATTCTATGTAAAACCTTAATGATCAGGTGATATACAGTACCCTTCCAAATTATTAGGGACACTTAAAATTTCTAAATAATTGTCATTTTTCAAAGTGTCATAATTTTTTCAAAAATGAATCAATTTTCATACAAATTTCAGGATATCATGTTCAGGTCTTCTACTTTCACCTAAAAATTATTAATTTAATTTATCTCAATTTTTTGCAAAAAATTTACACATTTGAACAAAGCAATTTTTTTTTAAAAAAATGTCAAGTCTGACAAGTTGCTACTTTGTAACAAATTTTTTTGCATAAAAATTATTACTTACACATTAAAGTACAAGTCATTAATTTTAAAACGCGCTCAAGTAAATGACTTTACGATTTTTTGTGACTGAGATATGAGATTTTGAAAAATTTTTGTCATTTATAGTGAAAACGAAATTAATGTGAATTCGAAAATTATTTAGTATTTAGTATTATTTTTTTGCAACTTTCTTATTCGGATTAATTAAGTTTTTTTATTTAAAACATTATTACAAACAAGAACATTATTTGTAAATTTGCAATAAAATTTTAAAAAACGACTCAAGAAAGTTAACTTTATTATAAAATTCAAAAACATTTTTACAAAAACAAATATAATAAAAAAATCTTAATATTTTGTAACATGTCCTTTTGCTTGTATAACTGCGTTTATTCTTCGCGGCATACTTTTAATACAAGCTCTTGCTTTTGCAATAATATCTGGGCTATTCCAGGTTTCTTTCACCTAAAATACTGCCACAACTCACTTTTCACTATAAATGGCAAAACTTTTTCATAATCTCATATCTCGGTCAAAAAAAATCGTAAAGTCATTTACGTCAGCGCGTTTTAAAGTTAATGTCTTGTACTTTAATGTGTAAGTAATAATTTTTATGCAAAAAATTTTGTTACAAAGTAGCAACTTGTCAGACTTGACATTTTTTAAAAAAAAAAAAAATTCTTTGTTCAAAAGTGTAAATTTTTGCAAAAAATTGAGATAAATTAAATTAGTAACTTTTAGGTGAAAGTAGAAGACCTGAACATGATATCCAGAAATTTTTATGAAAATTGATTCATTTTTGAAAAAGTTACGACGCATTGAAAAATGACAATTTTTTAGAAATTTTAAGTGTCCCTAATAATTTGGAAGGGTACTGTACTATACAGCTTTATTGCTTTTACGATACTGAAACCGGTTTATACTTGTTTAAGAGACTATATATAATGCAAATAGGATAAATTAGACGATACATTAGATAAATTTAAAATATTTATTTTAATAAGCATTATGTTAGTACATTATAATAATGAGACTCAATGATTAAAAGCACTGCAGTGTTTTAATAATTGCATGTTTTGCACGAGTTTATACGCAATACTTTTATATTTAAACATCCATGTAATGGGTTTTTATTCAAGAGCTTTTTTATATACTTCAGATTTGTATTTATTTCTAACGTATTTCGTTGCAATATTATTTATATACGAACAATTAATATACGAACGTAATCAAGTGAAAACCGCTTTCAGTCCCGTGAAAACAATAAAGCTGTATAGTATTACATTATAATTAAGATTTTATGTAGAATCCTTGGTGCGTCGATTAATTTATCCATACTTATTAATTTACAGCAAATAAATATTTATTAATAAAACGAAACTGTATCTTAATGTTTCCAAAATCATAACTAACTTTAATATTACTGCTTGCATCATAGTGTTTTCTACTTTAATATTACTACTTGCAATCATGAATCATTTTAATATTATTATTTCTTATAATATTTCTACTTGCTGTACTAAAATAATTTCTTTCTTTGGAAAAAAAATTCCATAAATAATAAATACATAATACTGAGTGTTATCAGTGTATGTAGGTAAAGCAGCTTTCAAAGGAAATTTTCCAATGGGAAAAAAGTTTTTTATAAATAATTTAGTATTTTTTTGTTGTTGAAGGAAAGTGTTAAAGCTAACCAGTAAATAGGATAAATATTTTTTTCAATAAGTAATAAAGTAATCAGTCATTCCAACTTTTTACATTTCATCTTTAACGTAATAAGTAATTGTAACTGAAGTAATAATAATGAATTAATGTAAACTAATTGTGTGTGCATTATGAATGAATGAGAAGATTCATGTGGATAGTTTCTGCATTTTTAACGAGATAGAAAAAGATAGTTTCCTATAAAACATATTTTGTGGATATTCCCACAATTTTGTATTGTTCAATGACTGTTTTATCGGAATATTATTTCTTAAAAATAAGTTCCTCTTTAGATTTTCAGAACTATCTGAGGACACAAGCTGGTAACACAACCACTGTCAACGTCGTCATCAGTACCGTAGATTATTTACTACGATTGCAGGTAAGTTCCTTTTAAATTATGTGCATTTTAATAATTTGTTAGATGGATAGAAAAAAATCGGAATAAAAAATACCCAACAAAAATTCATATGATGAACGTGGCAAATAAATTCATATCATTATATGAATTTATTTGCCACGTTAAGCCAGAATTTAATGAAATTTAATATTTACTCGAATGAGGTTAGGTATTTAAAACAAAATATTGAGGTATTAGGTTTAATGTAACGTTTACGGAAAGAAACATTTTCAACTTCGTACTAAACTGATTAGAACTCTTAGTATATTCTAAATTTCAATTATTCTACCTATTACATGGTGATATAATAATATAAATAAAATTTCGACTAGTTATTTTTTTAACCACTTTCCATATTTTAAAGAAGAAAAAAACTGCAGAAAATCAAAATTTTCTTAATAAATTCAAAGAACTAAAACAAAACATAATGTACAATTGAAATTTGAATTTTTTATGTGTAAGAAACATTTATTTTAAAATCAGTTTACTATCCCGTGCGGACAAAATAAATAAGTTAAATATTAGTCTATGTAGTTTCTTGAAACAAGGGACAAAGTTATTTTCGTCAGTGAAGTAATACGCTATTTTTTTTTACTCTTATTGCTATGTCAATACAGCAGTCATCGTATATAACAGGGGTTTCCAACTTACATGAGGCCGGGGGCCACAATTAAAAACGCAAATCAAATGGCGGGTCGCAACTTTATCAAAATTTTACTCTTTTATGTTTGAAGGAACATTAAATATTACTGTCAGTTTTTACCAAGTTGTACAAAACAAAAGTATTGAATTACAAATTAAAATAAGAAGAAGATTTTCAAAAGTATTTAATTGTTATTAATAATATTTTTAAAAATATTAAATAAATAATAAAAATTCGTTCTACAATAACTTTCATGTGCAACAGATATCTAATTGTTAAGATATAAAACTTCAAAAAGGTTGGTATTAAAACTTACATAGTAGCACGCAAAATATTCAATGAGAAAATTGAGGTGTGTCTGCTGCAGCCACCAGAAAATAGAAATTTACATTTTAAATTTACAAATGTGTGTGTAAATATTTTCGTCCAAAATGAGTGGTTTCAGAAAGTTAAATCGGAGAATTTCTTCGAGAAAATTTCTGATACGCACATGCTAAATTATCTTCACAAAAAAAAAAAAAAAAAAAAAAAAAAAAAAAAAAAAAAAAAAAAAAAAAACTGAAATAAGAAAGAGCAACATACTCGATTATTTTTGTATTTGAATAAATATTTTCTTGGATGAAAACCTGAGAAAAAAATTTTTTTGCACAGTTGGTATGTTAAATTTCACAGAAACGAAGAAATTAGGTTTATACTAGGAGGCTTCGCCCCCTGCTCGCTGGCGCTCGCCACCCCCCCCCAACTGCTTTCGCAGTTCATTTCGGATTGCTTCGCAATCCGATGGTCGATCATTGGATACGTTCTTAACGTCTAGCTTTTGTATACTTTTTTGAACACTGAAGTTCCGAAATCTTTTCTCTCTAGAAAATTCTAAACCTGTACATTTCAATATTAATTTGAAATCGTAAACAGTTCACATATTTTGCTTAATCACACTATTCTAAATTTCAGTTGTTGAGAAAAGTAACTGTTGTAAGTCTTGTTTTAAAGTCTTTCCCACCAGAGGGCTAAAAACCATGTTTTGTAAAACTATATGAAATAATACTGAACGCCGGATGTAAAGCATCGGCTTCGATGAAGATAATTTTGTGAGAATTTTTTTGATAACTCGGTGAGAATTCACCCGATTAGCCATATGATGCTCACTACGTGCGCTTGCGCGCCGAAGCCTATCAAATAAAAATGAAAACTGTTGCCAACGCGAGAAAAGTTTATTGATACATACGTATTAGCGTTTTATATAATACTAGGAGGCTCCGCCCCCTTCTCGTTAACGTTCGCCAACCCCCGAGAATTGCTACGCAATCCTATGTGGTTCACGCCGTGAACCATGGCTCGCAGCGATCGCTCGCCAATGAACACAATGTTCTAGCACAAAGACATAATATATTATCATCAAAGACATAGTATTGTACTTATGTAGAAGAATTCTACCAATGTTCTTATTGGCTTTTAAAAAACTGTATTAGCTGTTTAGATTGTACATGGTGAAAAAATCAAAACATTAGCTAAATAAGAAACATATAAGCAAAATAAATTATCAAATATTGCTTCACTAATATTCTGCATTTTAAAGCGTGAAAATTCAATGCATAAATAAACGCGAAATATAAAAAAAAAATCAGTGCATTCAATACAAACACTTAAACGTTTTTTAGACGTTTAGGTAGCTCCCAGTAGAAAAATATCAATTCAACAGCGGCCTTTTAAAGCATTCTCACTTCAATTCCCAATTGAGTTTAAATTAAATATTGTCATGTTTTTAGTGCATGAATCTGAATTGAACAACCTGATAATGCTCACTCTGGTCATTGTTATCTGGTTGCTCACTACGTGCTCCGAATCCAATCAAATAAAAATGAAAACTGTTGCCAGCGCGAGAAAAGAAATATCATCGGTTTTATTGATACATACATACATACGTACGTATTAGCGTTTTATATAATATAGATAGATTAACGAGAAAAGTATTTTAAACCCATATAGATTTTTTACGAAAATTGTCCGCGAAAAAAATGACAACTAATATATTTTAGTTCGCAGGGCCACAAAAAAAGACTTCCCCGGCCGTCAGTTGGAAATCCCTGGTATATATATACAATCGCTCAAAACACGTATGCAGTCCCACAGTCCAACATTAAAACTCCAAATAAAACTTGGCAAATTTCCAATCACAGCAAATTATGTTTTTTTGCTTCCGATCGAGTAAAAACGGGATAAAACAAAATGGACTGACACATTCTGCCCACTTTTCTCGGGATGATAAATACTTGCTATGTACACGGGATAATCATGGAAGCGGTTAAAAAATGTGATTTTTTGTAATCATTTTGTTAAATGCTTTATCTAAAGACTTTTATGAAATGCTCTTTTTTTAATTACCGCGCTATTAAATCGATCCATATAATTAAATAATTTATCTGTGTGTACAACCCTGAATGAGTAAACAAATTAAGAATCCTCTGATTTAAATTAAACTATGAACAATTCAGTTTTGTCCACTACTTTAACAATAGTGATGTTTGTTAACTTTATTCAAAAAAGTTTTTGTTTTGTATGGTATGTAATATTAAATTATCTTTCATTCGCAGTGCCGCCAGATTATTTAAGTGATCAACGTGATAGTCCAGGGGTGGCGAACCTTTACACACCAACGTGCCATTTTTTCTAAAAAATTGTTTAATGAGATCACAGACGTGCCGTCAAATAATTTTGACTTCGTTATTATTGGGAAAATAATAATACTAAATACTATCAACTCAAAACTCTTTATTTAAAAAAAAAAAAATTTGCAATGTCGCAGTTATACGCGTAATTCTACTTAAAGTAACATCAGTGTGACTTCTGTTGTTGCAGATTAGATGACAAATGACTTATATTAGGTTGTAAGATGTTAATTTCAGCAGGACTGTTAAATTTTTTTGCTAGTTATTTTTTGCTAGTTTTTTTGGTTATTAATTGTTTTTTAGCATTAATTGCTAATTTTATATTAATAATGGTTTATTATTTTGTTTGTTTTTGTGAATTTTAATTTAATGGTTACATATGCTTCATAGTGTAATATCATTTGTGCAATAACAATTCATAGTGCAATAACAATTGTGATCGGTGGAGTGCCCAAAATATTGTGTCGCGTGCCATAAATGGCACGCGTGCCATTGGTTCACCATCCCTGGCATAGGCGGATTACGCCAATAAATTAGTATTTCTGAAATGATCTTCAATCACGTGTTTATAGCTTATTTTTAAACAGTCTGGCTAAAGTGGCAATTTTTTTTCTTCACTGTCAGTTGTAACTAAATAATGGCACGCTGTGATCATTCATGTCATTATTTACGATAAAAATAAGCTATTATGATTTGAAATCAAAAAGAAAAAAATTCGTACGTTGTTTCCAGCAGAAGAATCTATTTTTTGTATACCTGTCGATACGTTATTTTTCTACACAACTTATAGCTGTGTATGCTTATAGGATCTGGGTTGTTTTTAAAATGAGTCACTTAATTGCTTACGAAACTCTAAATCTTTTACTACAAAAATCTATTCATTTAATGTTACCACCATTTAAAAGCATCATTATGCTGATGGAATTATTCATTTTGAATCACCTGTTCTTTAAGAAATTAATTGAATCTGAACATACGGCCTTATCTTCTTAGACTATTTGACTTGATCCGAAGTTTAGTTGAATTTCGATGTCCTAACTTATTTTCTGCAAAGTAATCATAATTCTCGAAAAACGAATAGTTTTTTCTTTACATAGTTAAGTTCAACATTTGAGTATCGAAAAATTTTCTTCTGTCTAAAATAAACATGGAAAGAATAAAAAAAAAAAAATGATTTTGACAAGCTACTATTTTTTTCCTTTCGATTTTTACTCAAAATTTAAAATTTTTTGAAAATAGTTATTTTTTTAGAAATTAGTGTGAGTTTTCTCAATGTAGTTTGATTCGAGGAAAATTGTAGAAGAGGGCGTAGCGGCTAATACTTGGACAGAAGTCAAAGTTTTCAATCTATTAACGGATGTCCGCCATTTGAAATTTTTTTTTAAAAAAAGTTTTGAAATGTAGAGTACGTCGGAACAAGATAAAAATTATTAAAAAATAAAACGTCTCTCACTTGAGCTTCCATTGTGGTTTTTCTCTGAACTTGAATTATTTGAGTTATGTAACTTAAGAAATCACGTATTGTTATTTAATTTTTAGGTATTCACCTTTAGGCGAAATATTTGTTTTCAAAAACTGTCATTTCATTTTCAAACTTTAATCAAGCTCATATCGTAGCTTTTTTTAAATTTATTTAAACTTACCATAGACAATTATATTCAAGAGCTAACTATTTTTTATGAATCAAACGAGGAAAAGTTGACAACTCTTAATTTAATTGAGATGATTTGTTTCATTTTTTTTATTTCACGAGCAACGTTGTAACTCTTTTTTAAGTATGAATTAAAACTAAAAAGAGGCTTTGAACATTTTGTATTTTAACAAAGAAAGACAATTTCCCGTGTCTACATAGACTTCAACGGACGTGAGAAAGTGTTAACGGACGTTAAAGGTGTATGATTATGTTAAAGGGGGTGTATGATTTTATCTGACATTAACAGTAAAAAACCCTTCTGGTGCTTATGTATAAAAGAGTCAATATATTCTTTTTAAACAAAAATGATGTGTTTTTCATGTTTTTTGTTTCCTTTTAGGAGTCAATTATGGATTTCTACTGGTACTATTCAAGCAAAGAGATCATTGAACAACCAGTAAGTCACACAAACTTTTTTCGTGTATTTACTATAAGAATTGAAACATGAGTTTAATATTTGTAAATGGCCAAAGATCTCAAGATTAAAAAAATAAAAGTAAACACAATAAAAAAGTTGTGATCGCCTGTTCAGTAGAAATTTGGGTCCGTTAACGGACACTTCACAAAAAATCATTTCATAAAAACGGGACCCTTCACAAAATATTTTAAATTAAAAACGGACACTTCACAAAATGATTTTTCTTTAAATCGGACCCTTCACAAATTTGTTCTTCATTATTGTTTTTGTTAATCGAATAAACCCTTTCTATGGCAGAAAAAAATAAAGATGGATGTAAACGAATTAAGTTTTGTCTTCGGCAGACGCTTGCTTCTTCCTATATTCGTCCGAAATGAATATTCTGCGTTCAGCAGTATAGGCTCAATACCAAATATTTTTATGTTGCATCTCTAATTTAGAAGTAGGAATTGTTGTTTATTTCTTAAAATTAAATTTTTTTAATTATAATTTGTGTTGACAACAATTAAACAGTGTTGAGCGTAATCTTGTATCTATTTACAATTTAACAAAACGTTGAAAAAGTTTTTTTGCAATAACAGGACCCTATTTGCACACATTCATAAAAGCAGGACCCTGGTTGAAGGAATGTGACTTTATTTTATATTCACAAATTGCGAGTCATTTTTTTTTCACAATTTTACAAAAACGAACCTTTCACGAAATGTCTGGACCATTGGTCAAATGCTTTTTCTTTCTAGATAGACTCCGTTAAACGCCACAATATTTCAAATCATGGGTTGCAAAAACTGTCTCCATTGATGTTTGTCGTCTGATTGGTTTTCAAATCCTGCCTATGTACGTGTTTCAAGACGTCACAAAATACTTTTCCTTCTTCAGCATTCGTTTTTATATTAAAATCACCGTCAAGAGCCAGTCATTATACGTTAATAATAAAAAGAATATACTTTAAATTATTATGATAGAAACACATTAAAAATGTCTGCCAGTGAAAATGAAAAGAAACACAGCAGCGGTCGCCATAGCAACGCAAGCAATGACGTCACTGTTTTCTATGACTCTTGAGCACAGTTTGCCATCCAATCCAAACCGAGACCCATTTGTCCAATGTGTAAAAAACAGAACACCTATTAACTGAATCTAATAGTCACGCACTAAGAGCTTAATGCTTTGAGGTGGAGAGTTTTAGCATTACGGTAATCTTATTTTCACACCTCAACTATACTGCACATGCTAAGAAATAGCGTATTCCATCTCACAAATAACGTAAAAACGTTACTTTCAGCTTAGTATTTCATTTTGTAACCGTCGATGAACAGCCGTTTTACGACTTTTGGATTTACGACTTCAACTCCGTAGCCTAGTCATTTCGGAACCCAATCCAGAAGACCAAGAAACTCCTGGATCAAGTAGTGGGAGAAATTTGCTTTCGTGGAGGACTTTTTGAGGGAACTAACCCACATTTGCGTTACGTGGTGTGAAAAAACATGAAAACCTCCCATGATCAGTCAGACGGCAAGAGGACTGTTACCCATGATCCGTCTGCCACTGAAGATATTTTCCGTGAGCACTGTGGTTGATGCGATCTGGGTGCGGAATAGCGTAGTATTTAAAAATTAGTGAACAAAAACGCTTATGATACTGAATAATTGACAAAATATTGCTCCTCAGAAAAATGTTAGATTCTTATGAAGAGTACATAAAAAATCAATGCGACATAAAGAATGAAATTTTTTTTATTGCGGAATGTACAGGAACTAGTTCTGAAGCATTTTAGAACAGAAGACAGGTCGAATTCGAAAACGGAAATGCTTGACTACTTATATTTTTTTAAATTTTATTGTGAATATAAATCTTGCATGAAAATTATTCTTACAGCAAATATATGTGTACACCAATACTTACTTTGCTTACGCTTGTGTGCTTCTAAATTTATTGTGATAGACTTAAAAGAAAAGTTTTAATTTCAAAATGAAAGTGTGGCGAGAACTGATAGTAGAAGTAAACCCTGTTATTTACCTTCCTCCCTGAGTGTTTCTTTATTAATTAGTCAGGTTAACCATTGGTGTTAATCAGCCAAAAGTGTAATTACCCGAAGTAATGTATATTACACTTATTATTAATATTATTATTTATATGGTATTACATTTTGTATTATAGTGTATGAAATATTGTGGTTCAAAAGTGATGGCAAAATGTAAGGTGGCCATCAGTTCTCGCTGAACAGAGTATTTTTATATGAAATTAAAATGTTCATATTTTACATTCAAGTTATTACACAATCGATCAAAGTGAATATAAGAGTGAACTTATAATGTGCATATATTGTAGTTGGAATAAGCTTCATACTTTATTCGAGGTCAATTTTTTTCTTAACCTTAAACGGTGGGTGAAAGAGCCTCAAAGGTTTCTAAAACTTTCCATCATAAAATAGAGTTTTTAAAAAAAACATGTCATTTTGTTTTAAGCTGTATCTGCTTAATGTGTAAAAAAACATTCATTAATATTCGAAATGGTGCATCGAACGTATACCATTTTTTTTCCTTTCTAAATAGACGTCAGTTGTAAATGAATTTCTTTTCTTACAGGGCAAAGATAACTTCTGTAAAGCCATCACTGTCGCCAAACAAGTATTTAATACATTAACAGAAGTCATTCAGGTGAGTTGCTTTAAAAATATATTCTTTTCTCCATTCAGTTCAATCAATATGAATAGTGTTTTTTTTTCTTCTAAAAGGGTCCCTGCTCTCTCAATCAACAAGCTTTAGCCCACAGTAGGCTATGGGACGCAGTTGGTGGTTTCCTCTTTCTCTTTGCACACATGCAAGACAAGCTCTCCAAAGTAAGTGTTTCATCATTATTTAAACTGAACTAGGAGGCTCACCAACCTTCGCAACAATTCCTGTTTTTTTTATACTTAAAACAGTTTAAATTATTCGACTAAAAATATATGTACTAAAGAGAACACTTGTCCAGCCACTTCCCACGTCCAAATATTTCCTTCTCTTATGATACTATTAAGATCTATTAGTGTACAGTCGTCAAAAAAAAAGATATTACTCTGAATAACTTTCTTTCAAATGATCGGATTTTCACGAACTAAGTGTCAATCTTAATGGTTCCCGAGGGGGTGACCTCAAATATGCTAATTAATGAGTGCTAACTATTAAGTTACGAAATCGGACATAAAAATGCACTTTCTCTGAATAAACATATATTATTTTTTTACATATTTGGAATCCTGACTCCTGAAATAAAGGGGGGGGGGGAGACAAATTTTTGAAAAATTTGGGTCGTAAATTGGGTAGCAATAAAGATTTATATATTTGGTGATAGTCCCTGAAAACAGCCAATTAAAGTCGCCATCGCAAATAAATATTTTAAGATAACTCATAGAGAGAAATACTTAATTTTACTCGGTTGCTAAGTAACCAATTTTAGACCATAAAAAAATTGAAATAATGTTCTGTGATCGGAACTTAATTAATAGATAGCACTAAATAATTTGCATATTTAAGATTGTTGGATTTTGTTGAGAGCAAATCAGACTGAAAGTCACGTAGAACAAACTGAAAACTTAACTTTTATTTATCAAACTCAATTTTAAAAACTCAATTTTTATATCAAAAAGAATATAAAAACAATAAGATGTTGCCAGCACAGGAAACTCAAACTATCTAACTAATCTCGAACTCAAACCTCAACATCCTCCCCACCCTGGTCGACCTCGAGGGGGATGACCAGAGCTTACGGACGGGTTATATTGTGACCATTAACTCTCAGCTCACAGGATCTTATTTTTCCATCTCGTCCTTCATGCAAGCTCACCACTCTAGCTTTCTTTCACTTGTGCCGTGGTCGGACATCTTCTTGTAGAAGTACAATATCGCCAATTCGAACGTTAATGATATTGTCCTGATTACGAACTTGATGAAATGACCGCAATTGAAGCAAATATTCCTTGGACCATTTTTTCCAAAAGCAGTCGAGTAAGTCCTGCTGCTGTGTAGATTTTTCTTAGCTTTTTGTTGTTATTTGGGATGGATGGAATGGCCGTTAGTTTTCGTCCTGTCAAGAAATGGCTTGGTGTTAAGGCTGTGGAACTGTCATCTTTTCCATCTTTGTATACCAATGGTCGACTGTTCAGAGCAGCTTATATTCCAATAAGGGCCGTGAACAGACTTTCCTCGTCAAGAAGTGCTCGTCCTAGTACCTTTTGTAGACATCGCTTGACAACTCCCATTAGGCATTCCCACCAGCCTCCAAATGTTGGATTTTGTTGAGAGCAAATCAGACTGAAAGTCACGTTGAACAAACTGAAAACTTAACTTTAATTTACATCAAAAAGAATATAAAAACAATAAGATGTTGCCAGCACAGGAAACTCAAACTATCTAACTAATCTCGAACTCAAACCTCAACAAAGATCATCCCCAAGAACCATTAAGATTGACACTTAGTACGTGAAAATCCGATCATTAGAACGAAAGTTATTCAGGGTGGTATCTATTTTTTTTTCCTTTTTTCTTTTTTGCCAACTAACTTGTACATAAATCATTTTTTGATGTAATCATTTTTGTAAATAATTTTAAAATTAAAAGTATGGTGTTCGAAAAAATTTGGTACGTTCACAATTGTCATTTCATATTTTTACTTACCAAACAAGCGGATGTATATTTTAAATAAAGTGTTTGCTTTCATCACTTCATGTGCATGAAGCTGAAAGTGAAGTCATTTCACGAATCTCTTTAGCTCTCATTCATCATAGAATTTTCAACAAAGAATAATAACTGTAAAACGGTTCATAAGTTCATCAGACAATGATTTAAATAATTTTATCCTATAATGTAAAGTAGAGTTACATTATTCTAACAATAATAGAAACAATCCTCTCTTAATTTAGAAAGCAAACAAAATCAAAAACGTAATAATAACAGTACCTTTAAATTATCCATTTTATGTTATTCAAGGAAAGAAAATTCTTCATTAGAGAAAAGAAAATGCTTAAGATTTGTTTCAGCCGCTTAATAATCGTAATTAACTTTGATGGAAATAATAGTTTTCTTAAAATAAATTCATAAGACTACATACGCGTTCGAAGCTTTTGCACACTGTTAAATGTTAGAAAATTTCAATACTAAGCGAAACTAAATGAGCTATTAAAACTATTGTGTTCTAATAATTATACGTATGTGAACAAATTAAAATAACGAAAGAAAAATGATAATAATTCAAATGCATGTAAAAATGAATTACAAAAATTATTTGTTATAATTCTTTTTCTTCTAGAATGCTAGTCAATTGGATCTGTTGAAGGAATTGCTGGAACTACAAAAGGAAATGGTCATTATGATGCTCAGTATGCTAGAAGGTGAAATCTCGTCACATATTTTTTTTTTGTACCTACTAGGGTGGCCCCTGCTCGCTTCCGCTCACTAACCCCTGTGATTGCTTTGCCATAATTTCTGTTTTTTGACAGAAAACAGTTTTTCTACTGAAGTAAAAACTATTCACTCAACATTTATACATATACATAAAAGGAATTCTGTTGTGCCTCCACTTCCAACGTCCAAATATTATTATATATTACTACTAAAAATATTTAGATTTATCGGAGAGCAGAAGTAGTTTTTCTAAGTAATAATTTCTAACATCTATATTGTTTAACATTATTACATAGTATAACATACTTATATATTACATATTATAACATACTTATATATTACATATTATAACATTATTACATATTATAACACAATGTTCAAACAAATTTGATGAGTTCACAACCTTAATTTAATATTTTCACTAACCAAACAGGCGAATATATAAAATACTATTTGCATCATACTGTGCATGAAGATGATCGTTTAGTTGTTCTAAATCATGTAACGCAACTCTTTAACTATAATTGATGAAGGTATATTATTGTATAGGTAATGTTATGATGCTAATGTTAAAATGACCCCCCAATAGGTAATGTTATGAACGGAACAATTGGTAAGCAGATGGTGGATACTCTTGTGGAATCTGCAAGTAACGTTGAGGTACATTTCTTCTTCTCTTTCACTAAAATCCCGATATCCCATCGTTTCTTATTGAACTATTTGAACACTGGTTGTTGTTGGCTTTTGAATATATTAGCATGTTTTAGAGTAAATTTATTTTTTTCTGAAACAGATTTTTCGGAATAATTTTTTATGTGAATAAATATTTTATTTTCATGAACTGCTGTTAAGTTTGCAAATAGTTTTCCTCACTATTTACGACACCCTTCATGCGTATTTTGAAAAAAGTGGGAAGAAAAAAAACCACAGTTTTGTAAAACTAAAACGCTTTTGTGTTCTAATTTTGTAACATCGAAAAATTTACTTTAACGCTAATGAGTTATCCGGATTCATAAAAACAGGAAAAAATTGAGAAATAGTCATTGATTTTGATAATTTTTATCGAGGTGGAAAAATCACGTCGAATGGGTAAATTTTTCCGAAAAATTGAATAGCATTAAAATATTCACGTCATTTGTCTGTTCAAATAATTATCTACGTCACGATGGTATAATTGGTTTCAATTATAACTTTGCCTCAAGTGATGGGCATTTAAATTGCAATTTTTTTTTATTTTCCTTGGCGAAAAGATTCGAAAAGCACTGTTTAATTCTATAGTTGAAATTTTCTTAATAACTTCAACATCCTTCTCTCCTAAGCAAAAAAATTTTGATTTGGAAAGTTGATTTATCCTTCATTCTCTGTTAAATCATCTCTTACATAACTGAACATTTTAAAAAAACTGCTGGAAGGCCACCGGAATTGAAATCGAAGTTTCTGTTTACAGCAGCCGTTGGATAATTCGAAGCATGTGACATTTTTTTTCAAGAGTTATTAAATGAGTCCTCGAAATGATTTAAATTTATTTAATAATTTGGATTCATTCCCGAGTTAAACATAAGAAAAGATAATTGTGAATGAATGACAAGCCACCACAACTTTTTCTGTACTATTTGAAAATTTATTTTTACAATCCAAACAGTCACAATAAATTATAATGCGTGTTAAATAATGCCCTGAAGTTATTTACATTGTTGAAGTTATACGAGATTTCCTATTTTTATATTTTTTAATACATATTTATGTTCAATATTCCCTGTTAAAAATTAAAAGTTTAGGCGGGGGAATTTCTTTCCCCTTTTTTTTTCATGGTTTGTCATTATTTATATGTATTGTTTTTTTTAAATATTTTTTTTTAAATTCTCATTTAAATAAAGGTGTATTAATGAGATTTTAAAACATTTTATGTTAATTAATATACAATAAATTGTGCTGTTATTTTTGAAAGTGGAATAAATAAATAGGAACGTGATCCGAAGTTGAATAAATTTATTCGCTAGCCGGTTGATATTTTTTTAACTCTGTAATGAATATTAAAATCTAAAAAACGCTGTTTCCACTTTCGAAAATAATCAATGTCCGATATGAAAAGTGGTCACAACGGTGATGACTAAAGCCCGGATTTCGATGACCTAAAAAATCTCAACTAAACTAGTTTTTATATTTTGTATTGAAACTTTAATGGATATAACAACTTCCATCTCATAATATTACTAAATATCAGAATTACATTGAATCATTAAATGTTTTTTGATAATTTGAAATGTAAACGAGCGTCTCTTGTCTGAAAGTAAATTTTCATTCCTGCAGAAGCTTCTTTCAACGTCTACTGATGTTATAGGTGCGTACTTGAAAAAGATGGTCTCACTTACTGACAATTCTTCAATTTGAAAAGATTTTGCTTCACCTGTTAATATCCTACAGATTTTCTTCATTCTTTGGAAGCCAGTGTAATAATGAAAATTGATTAAAAAAAAGTAATAAAAATTGGAAAAAATTAACAAAAAACTTTAAAAAATGCAAAATACGCCCCAAAATTTAAAGAAAAATGCCCTGTAAATCTAAAAAAATGCTCTAAAAGACAAAAAATGTCCAAAAATGCAAAAAAATACAAATGTCATTAAAATCCGGGCCTTAGTGATGACCATTGTTTAACTACTTGAGAGAGCATATTATAGTAAGATCGATGGATGTTTATGGAGTCAACTCGAATCATTATGTTAAGAAAATCAATCCGTTTATGAGATATTTAGAACACTATGTACTGCGCAACATTTCAAAATATGAAGGAAAGTCTTTAACTGCTCTCATGTGTAACTCTCTTCTGACTGCTTTTCAGTTGGACAATGTGTCAAGGTGTAATAATGGAATGTATCATTTTATTTTCTTGTTAGTGCATGTATACTTTAGATTGTGCCTCTAATATATTTATTTGCAAAAAACACTGAATCTTTGACCTCTTTTTGATGTTAACATTCTTATTATGACACATCCATAAATGTATAAACACCATGCATGTACGGTCTTTTGCCTAATCTAGATTATTCTTTAAATGTAGTTATTAAAACGAAGTCCTTATTTATAATTTTATTGTGTTGTAGAATATTACTTAGCCTCTGCAAAGTACCAATTTAATTTCCTTAGAGATTAATACAAAATGAATAATACAAATTAAAGATTTTACAGAAATACCAGCAATAAATCCATTTAAATCGTATGAATAAAATAAGACAAACTCTATAAAACAAACTGACTCACATTTGTTGGCGTCTACAATACAGAGCCGTTGAAAAACAATGGGTAAAAAATTCACCCATCACCGGTATTAACTATCACAGAAACAAAAAACTTATATGGCCAGAACATAAATCCTTTCAGAGGTACCGCCGTTAAGTGAAATCCATGGTAGTAATCACGTCCATCACCCTAATTAAGTCTACAGTGGACTCAACTTTGGCCAAAAAAATCGTGAAAATCACTCGGAAAATCGATTTTTGACCATTTTATATTAATTAAAAGATATAAAAAAAGCATATTAATTATTAAAATCATAAGAATTTGTAAAACCTTTGACACTATTAGTGTTATTTTGCTTTTTATTACAAAAACTTGCTGTTACGAGTGTTTGGTGTAGTGTTTCTCAAAACAAATTTTTTTGCATCGAATTGGAAATTGAAGTAGTTCCATGCTCTATAATTTTGATGACTATTCCATAAAAACTTTTTATTAACACACTCTCTAAATAAATAAAAAAAAAAACTTGTAGAGAAAAAATTTCGAAATAAGGTGCCACACCATACTTCATAGTCGTTTTAATGTTCCAAAACTTTCAAAGAAGGACAATTTTTATGTTGTTTTTTTGTTGCCGAAACTTTCTTTTTCTACTCCGTATGAAAATTAATTGAAAAATGCGTAAATTATTTCCTTACAATGTAAGGAGAAACGTAATTAGAGTTGAAATTAACAAATAATATTTAAATTTAAGAAAAAATATAGAGCAAGGAGCTTTTTTTGAAAAAATGTACATTTTTCATGTTATAGCATGAATTATGTATCAAATTATTTTTTTATGTTCTCTCTTTAAATATAAACAATCCCTACAAGTTACAGCAATGTAACATTATTTTTCAAGAAAAACTTATTAAGAGTCCACTGTAGCCAGTAATCGAGACTAGCATCTGTAGGAATTAATCCAAACTAAACCATTCTAAATCAAACGCCGGCTTTTTATTCTCTCGGTACTTCAGCTGATCTTTCCTGGATACGAAACGGGAACTTGCAATAACAATAATAAACAGAGCATCTGATGACAAGACTTAACTAAATAATCGTCGGGTGAGCATCAAGAAGAACAGAGTGCAAAGAGCCACCAGTCAACAGTTAATTGAACCAACTATCAAAATTCTTGTTACACGAAAGAACTCAACTCTTTTGAATTAATCTCATTCATATCTCTTGGATAAATGTAAAGCATTGTTTATATTTTTCCTAAGTGCTAATTTAAAAGAATTCTTAAAAGTCAAACTTGATGATTTTAAACATTTTTCTGACCCGTATGAAGTGCTCTTTCAGTGACAGATAGTAAATGAGTGTGTATTAATGAACTTGCAATGCATTCACAGATAATCCTTCGATTCTTCAACATGTTCCTCAAGCTGCCATCGTTAGTGTCTTCCCCAACTGTAGCGGTATGTAGTTACTACTGTAGTATATGCTAATACTAACAAACAACAGGGGAAGACTTACTCATCTCTGAAGCACGAAAGATGTAAAGTTTTTATGCAGAAATTTTGGATGTACTCGAAAAAAAAAATTCAAAAATAGAGAATGCTGCAAGCTCTGGATGACCAGAGTGATTAGTCCCAGCCTCAACATGTTAAATGAGTGACTAGTACTGGATTCTGATCTTTAAACGTGGTAGTCTATTAAACAACGTGTCACCTTGTACTGGAATATCATAAGCATTTGTATTCCTACGACATTTTAAGAACTCTACAGAGTGAGGGCCATCTTTCGGCAGCTTTTATAACTGTATTCCAAAATGTCTGCATAAACTGTGATTGCAACTTTTGCAATGCCTTTATCCTCTTTCGTTACGGATATTTGAACTATAGTAAGTCTTCCACTGTACACCCTGTACAATTCCTTGCTGTGTAGTCTCCCGAAACTAAACCACACAACTTGACGCGTCATATCGTGGTCACTTGCAGGTGACTGCGAATATTTGCTTTCTTCTATCATGTTGTTTTTATCTTCTTCCTACTATGTTCCAATGTCTTATCCCTATAGCTTATCCTCAAATTCTTCGATATGTTTCTGAAACTGAGGGAACTTACATCGTCAGCCACATTCCAGGTAATTCTGTTTTATTCAGTTCAATCTGCTGAAATGGATGACAGCAGATAAACGAGGGATAGTCTCAAAAGTAAAGTCTCTCAACACACAAAATTCTATAATATTCGCATCATTTTATAGATTTTTCCTCTGCTTTATGACGGTTAATCCATTGTTATAGACAGTTCTTTTTTGTTACTGTTTATGACCGAAATGGGCGGTTGTTGACTTCCACCGGTGAATGTTGACACTCGCTTTGGTAAATGTCTGAAATATGTACTAGGTCTAGTTAGGTGCCACTGCCCGGTATGCCCTACATCGATGTTTTTTTAAGGTCAAGTGCCACTGTCAAGTATGCATTTAACCGGTGCCAAGTATGCATTATCGGTCCTCTTTAAACTGTTCTACCGCAAAATGCTCGACATCGCGCGCAGGTCGTCGGGCTACCAAAACAGGAGAGCCATCCCGTCTGCTGAGGATCGAAACTGCGATGGCATGTCTTCAGATCATCCTCGAGGATGTTTTCCAAACGTCGCCAATAGCCCATTGAGCATCTCTAGTGCGGCTTAAATAAAGCACTTAAATAATCAACCTAAGTAACACATTCTCAATGATCAGTATGTGTTGGACGTACAAAACCTGTCTAGAAATCTACAAAAATGCACCCATCAAAATAACGATTAAGTGGGAAAAAATATAATTTTTCAATTTTTAAAATGATGTGAAATTTATATTTAACCTATTTTTGTATTTTTAAACAATTAAGACCTGAGACGGGAGAAGTTTGAGGTTATTTGTGGCTCAGCAACAGATTTTATAAAAGTAAACAAATAGATCTTATTTTTGGGATTATCCTCGTTTTTCAACGTTTGGAAAAAAATGACTCTGTTTTGATCATGCTTTAATACTCACAGTCTGTAGAGTCACTCTTTTGTATAAGCATTGAAACAAAAGATTTCTTTTGTATGCTCCGTTTATTTTTGAGTTTTACTTTCTTATAAAAGGTTTCTGTTTTGATGTAATGAAAGATTGTCTTTATTTTTTTTTAAAAATAAATTTATAAGAAATAAAATGATCGTAGCTTTTTGCTAAAGTGCTACATCTTTATTCTTTTGCTCTGAACAGCTCAGTAAAACAACTTAAATCTATTTAAGGTACTTTAGATCAATTATTGTTTAAGTTTTATTTATTATTTAATATGCATGCAAATTTTAGTGTTGGAGTAAATTTGAATAGTGATAAGGGCCCGTGAATTTAAAAAGATTTAAGAAATCCGTTTTCTTCTTTAATGGTTAAGTTTTTTTTTTTTTTTTAACAAATTGTGTTTTGAATATCGATTGAGAAATATTGTTCACATCGTTTAACTTCGGGGCTCTTAAAATATTTTTCTTACTCTAATTTATAACTCCTATATTATTGAAATAAATATTATTTGTTTCCTCTCTTTCTAATTGTTTTCTTAAGAGAAAATAGTATTTTTTCTTCTAACTTTATATTATCATTGAATTTATTTTGTATGCGCAAACATCTTTGAGAAGAAATTAGAGGTTAGGATTCACTTGAGTGTTACATCGAGAATTAATGACATGAAACTTATTTTCTAATTCGGATAATTTTGATTGATATAAAGGTTTTTGCCATCTAAACACGAGAAGATTGCAATGTTCTTTAATGGAGAAACGTTGTTTCATTGCAAAATATAAAAATGAACTTTTAAAAAAAGTTTTTAAATATCAACTTCCTTTAAGGGGTTAATGAACCCTCACACAAAATCTTTCAATAGAAAATGTTTACTAATCACCTCAAACAGTTAAACGCTCATACTCAGTTTCAATGAAAATACTTTGAACTGCTTATCCTTATTCGAAAATTTCTTTATTTTGAAAGATTTAAATAATATTTAAACCTTAGTTTCTGTGGTTCTAATGCGTGTAATTATTTCAGCTGCTACGGTTTGCTTACAGATCAAATCAAGAATTTTTTTTTAAAAAGAATTGATTTTTATTCTAAAAACAGTTTTGAAATAAAAACACACCTAGAAACGCAACCAGAAAATATTATAACGGATTTTTGTTTAGTTACTTTACATCTCTTTTTCTAAAATTCATACTTTTTTGCCGTATTAGTTTTTGATCTACCCTATTTTAGAGGTTAAAAATTATTTAAATTAATTTTCTGTGATAAAGAGTTTGGATCATTCGCACCTCATGCATTTTTTTGTACCAATAAAAAAAGCAATGTGCATTCTCTGAGTTATACGGGACACAACTATAGTTTGTCTAAGGTAAGAACTGCCCTCCCTTTGAAGCCATGCCTGTGACTATGGTAACGACATATTACTATTTCTATTAGGGGTGCAAGGTCAATGTTTAGGACAGGTTTTGACCCGGGTCAGCAACGGAAAGGGAATCTTCGGTCTAGCCCTAGAGTGAAGAGGAGCTGAAAAGCACTATTCCTGTTTCTATAGCAGCCGACGGCGTCCTACTCTGTGGCAGGGGGACTTCTTACTGTAGACAAACTATAATTTCATTTGTTCTTTTAAATTAATTTGTTCTTTTAACTGTCTTTAGGAAATCGATTCCAAAAACACAGGTTGGATCACACCCAAAGATTTCCAGAAGGCTATGGAGCAACAGAAAATCTACTCTTCGTAAGTACACCTTTTCAAAGTTCCTTTCAATCTGCAGAATTTGACCTGTGATGGCTCGCCGTCCAATGAGGTGAACCTGGTTTGAATCCCGGTGATGGCTGGTCGATACGAATTCCGCATCCGCCTTGCACCGACCACAGTGCTGACTTAAAATATCCTCAGTAGTAGACGAATCATGGGCTAGAGTCCACTTGCCGTCTGGCTAATCATGGGAAAGTTTTCGTGGTTTTCCTGTCCATGTAACGCAAATGTTGGTTAGTTCCATTAAAAAGTCTTCCAAGAAGGCAGATTACTCCTAATACGTGATCCAGGAGTTTCCTCGTCTTCTGAATTGTGTTCAAAATAACAAGGTTGCGGAGTTGAACATTAGTAATCTTAAACCCAATAACAATTGGATCGGCTCTGTTCAACGATGGCTATAAAATAAAATAAAATCTACAAAGTTTTTTAAAAAAAATAAGCAGTACATAAAATGAATGTTTAAGACCCGTGCAATTCGAGTAGGACCACCCTATAATCAGTGGTCGTCTACAAACATTGTAAAGAGCTAGTATTCCGTTTTAGTTTTTTGATATTCATTTTGGTGCTTTGGTCTGTGTTTTAATCGAAATTTCATCATGAATGTGATCTTCTTTCAGTCATTCCAGCCTTTAAATTCATTAACTAGCATTTTTTAAAAGAAAAAATGATAGTAAAGACAAACCAGTATAAATGTGTACAAAGCCTTAATGTATTTTATTTAATGTAACATAAGTTTCTTAATATATATCGTACCCCTGTCATCCACCTGTTCAATTAAAATGTAATGATGTCTTTTACTCCAGAGTGCCGATGAATTTTTTGCTTTCAAAATCAAAATGAATCAAAATTTGAAGAAAAAAAAATATTTTTAATAAAATATTGTATAATTAGTATGAGACGCACTCTAAGATTTTATGTAAAATCTTTATTATCAGGGGATACTATACCGCATTATTGTTTTTTATGTGACTGAAAGCGGTTCGTACTAGTTTATGTATCAACTAGGAGGCTCCGCCCCCTGCTCGCTAACGCTCGCCAACCCCCGAGAATCGCTACGCAATCCTATGTGGTTCACGCCGTCAACCATGGCTCGCTGCGCTCGCTCGCCAATGAACACAATGTTCTAGCACAAAGACATAATATATTATCATCAAAGACATAGTATTTTAACATCAAACACATAGTATTGTACTTATGTAGATGAATTCTACCAATGTTCTTATTGGCTTTTAAAAAAGTATATTAGCTATTTAGATTGTACATGGTGAAAAAATCAAAACATTAGCTAAATAAGAAACATATTAGCAAAATAAATTATCAAATATTGCTTCGCCAATATTCTGCATTTTAAAGCGTGAAAATTCAATGCATAAATAAACGCGAAATATAAAAAAAATTCAATGCATTCAATACAAGCACTTAAACGTTTTTTAGACGTTTAGGTAGCTCCCAGTAGAGAAATATCAATTCAACAGCGGCCTTTTAAAGCATTCTCACTTCAATTAATTAATTAATTCCTAATTGGGTATACTATAGCCTACGTCACAGGTTGTGTTATTCCTACTGAATTTAACCCATGAACGGCATTTTCTGCGAGCCTAACTTCAAGCCACAAATAAACAAACGAAATGTTTGATCGTTTAAATAGCTGCTCGTCAGATTTTATTGCATTATAAAGAAAAGTAATTGATATTTGATTTTTGATTAATAATTGATTTATGTGGATAGTGGCATAGAATTTAGCATTGCGTCATGGTAAATGTTATTCCTACTAAGTGAAAGTAGTTGTGTTTTTTTTTAATATTATACCCAATTGAGTTTAAATTAAATATTGTCATGTTTTTAGTGCATGAATCTGAATTGAACAACCTGATATAATGCTCACTCTGGTTATTGTTATCTGGTTGCTCACTACGTGCTCTTGCGCGCCGAATCCAATCAATTAAAAATGAAAACTGTTGCCAGCGCGAGAAAAGAAATATCATCGGTTTTATTGATACATACATACATACGTACGTATTAGCGTTTTATATAATAAGATTAGTTAACAGTGTCATGCAATACGTTAAAAATAAATACAAATAGGAAGTATATAAAAAATCTCCTAAATAAAAACCCATCACCTGTGTGTTTAAATATAAAAATATTGCACAAAAAATCGTGCAAAATATGTCATGATTAACACACAACAGATCATCGAATAATTTTGTCTAATTGTTATAATAGAGTAATATAATACCTGATATGATAAATATTTTAAATTTTTCTAATATCTCATTTATTCAATCGCCGAATTTATATTATATACCAGGGGTGGCTGACCTCTCTGAAGGATTATGTGTGGCTCTCGATCAATGTACCCGAGTTCCCTTTTCATTTTTGTGCTATTATGTTTACAAAAAATTATTATACTGAAAGTATGTCTTTCAAAATTACTGACAACAAATATGAAAAAGTGCAACGTTGTGACAAATTTCATTTCCGTCCAAGTTAAGAATGATGTGACTCATCGAAAACTGCGCGAACGAACATAAACAGATTTCAAGGCTTGAAATATTTTAAATCATCTCTTGATTTTTTGCTGAATCCATTTGAAATTAACATAATTCAAGGTGAGTGTTTTCCAATATAATTATGACCCAGAAAGCATCTGGGGAATTAGAAATGATAGAGAGGCAAGAAGATCAAGCTCTACAATTAAAATATAAGTCGACGTCGATTATTGAATTTTGGAAATTTGTACCAAAATCGAAGTATCCTGAATTAAAAAAGGCTGCTTGTCGAATTATTTCAATATTCGGAACAGCGTACTTATGTGAATCATTTTATTCCATTTTAAAATTCGTGAAATCCAAACACCGATCAGTATTAACTAACCAGCATCTCAAAGAATTACTGACAAAGGAAACTAGGGAAGTGTGACTCGCCAATTTTGAAATAAACTAGTGGGGATGTATGCCTTATGAGAAATTATTTTAGGGGGCAACATTTGTTTCGGCCCATAGAAGGTTCTGTGAGAGAGAAAAAATAATTCAATATATAGAAAAATCGGTATTTTATTACTTCAATGCAGACTATTAGTTATTGTAATTATCTCATACTCCAATTCATTTTATGGTACTTTCACGTACTATGTATGTAATGCATATTTATTGTCGAAATTGATTTCGAGAATTTTATATATCTGTAGTTTTTCAGAAAAACCTGTTAGGTTAATTTTTAAAAAAAAATTGTCATCAAATTGTTTTAATTTTTTTTTCCAAAATATTTTCCAAATTAATTGGAGTATGTAATTGCAAATCAATTATCTAATTAATAATTAATTTGTAATTAATTAATAATTAATTAGCAATTAATTAATAATTTATTAAGACAGTATGAGTATGAGACAATTACAATAACTAATAGTCTGCAATGAAGTAATAAAATACCGATTTTTCTACATATTGAATCATTTTTTATCTCTCACAGGATCTTCTATGGGCCGAAACGAATGTTGCCCCCTAAAATAATTCCTCATAAGGCATACATCCCACTAGTTTATTTCAAAATTGGCGAGTCACACTTTCCTAGTTTCCCTTGTGAGAAGTGCTGCAGTCACTAATTATTCACCAAATTTTAAAGAATTATCAAGACAAGTAAAATAAATGTGTTTAATATTTAAATTCAATGCACTTATTTTATACTTTTATTTATATGTATTCAATAAATATAATTTCTGTAAAAAAAAAAAATTTAATGTCTTTTTTGCATACCTTTTAAATACGTTTTAAGTAGCGCGGCTGGCGAAAAATTTCAAATTTTTAAAAATGGCTCGACTACAAGGAGCTTGGCCATTCCTGTTATATACCTTCTAATTTAAGCATTTGATTCACGATCGTAAACAAGTGCAAACTGGTTTCAGTCTCGTAAAAACAATAAAGCTGTAAAGTGTCAGCTGATAATTCACATAGAATCACGAGCGATTAATTCTCACTTGGGCCGAATCACGCTATTGGTTGAAAATGACATCACTGTTTGGGGAAGGGACATGCTGTGTATTGCATAGTATTTTGGCGACAAATCTTGATTTGGCGACAGATTTTATATTTAGTTTTCAAATGCAACTATTTACACGTGGTATTAATGTTGAGTAATAAAGACAATGTTCACATCGTGCACAGTTTTGTGGTTATTTTTTATTAGAATCTAAGTAAGTGAAATTAAACTATACTGCTCTTACGTCATTGGCAACTGGGGCTGTTCTAGAAATGCAGGGGGGGGGGGGAATTTCGGTAGCCAGAATTTTGGTCATTACTTTAAACTAAATTTACGTGTTGCTTGATCATGAAGTTTTTAAAATTATTCATGACACAACTAAATGACGATGTATGAGTAAATTTGAGCTTATGTTTATTTCGATTTTTGTTACTTCATAACTGCAAAAGACAATTCTTAAGGAAAAACAAACAAGCAAAAAAAAAAAAAAAACGTATTTGTAATATTACTATACCATCTTATATTTGTAAAAACATTCATTATTTTTATTGTTTTTAGCTTTGATGAATTTAAATCAATTAATACATAAATATTGTCTGAAATGCTGAAGTGGACATTTACCTATCTCCCCCACCCTAACGACGACATAATATTACGTAAACATTTACAAGAAATAAATAAATTCCGAGCGAGCACGTGTGCATACGAAATTTGTCGCCAAACTCATACAAACACCAGCCAACAGCCACCATCTCCCTTCCCCCAAACAGTAACGTCATTTTCGACCAATAGCGTGATCCGGCCCAAGTGAGAATTAATCGCTCGTCATAGAATCTTAGAGTGCGTCTAATAATTAAGGCCTTACTATTGTACATTGTTGATTTATAATAATGGTATTAGAGCGGATTAAAATCATCGTTATTTTGCAGGGACGAGATCCAGTATTTGATGGGATGTTGTGAACCTAACCACGACGGTCTTATTGACTACAGAGAGTTTACTGAGAGATTTCATAACCCGGCAAAGGACATCGGTAAATCTTTCATTTCTCTTGTGTGGTTTCTAAAATAGCAACACTTTCCATTTTTGTTAGATTGCATTAAATAGTAATTTAAGTTGTGTTGAATAATTGTTTATTCAGATTCATTTCGCTAGGTAGTCTTTTATTGATAGTTTAACTGCAGATCTACTGCTCTCTTCAAACAATTTTGTCTCTCTTCAACAATGAGATACCCCAGCAATCTCGATGGATTGTTGAAACGTGGCGTTTGTTTATGTTTGCAACTCTTCTTTCCATTCTATTTCGAGTTGCCCTAGCCTGTCAAAATATACCAATTCTCTTAAGTAACACAGTCCACATTCTTTTCCTTCACGAAGATTGCTAATCTTTTACTACACAAATACTTAACTGAAAGACTTAGATTTAAGCTTTGAATCGCTCTTCTGATACAATTATGGGGGCCGCCCCCTTTATTTTGGGGATCAAAAATCTGAATTCGTCGAAAGAAAAGGTATGTTTATTCAGAGAAAGTATATTTTTGCGTCTGATTTGCATATTTGAGGTACCCCCTCGAGAAAGTTATTCAGGATGTTTTTTATTTTACTCCCTGTACCCTATTATTCACCATGTAGGCACAACATTAAATGTGGGGTATTTAGATTCTATTAAAATCCGTTTCGACTATCATAGTAACCTACATTTGTATTGTTGCAGTTATTACGATTTATTTTGAGTAAGTAATAATCTATTTTTGTTACAGGTTTTAATTTGGCTGTTCTACTGACTAATCTTTCGGAGCATATGCCCAATGATCCCAGGTTATTTATACTTATATTATCTACTATGATTTCTCATATCTAGAAAATAGTTGTAATAATATATAATATTGAGAATGTCTATATTGCCTACTATGATATTATCTAGAAAATAGTTGTATTAATATATAAGTTACATCTTGGGTAGAATGCTAAATGTTCCTACAAACACATCGCTGATATCCTCCAGAAAGAGATGTCTTTCTAACGCATTCTCTAGAATCGTCAAGCAAAATAAAATTTTCTTCACAAATAGTGAATTAATTTCTGGTATGAAACTGTGAGAGTCTTCCTTGTTTCGTTCCTAACTGATAAAGCACTTCATTTTGAACTTCTAATATCACCGTTAATAAATTTCAGTTGCGCAAACTGAACGAATTTTCGTAAAGTTAGGAGCTTTTATCAAATTTACCGTTGGGAGTTGGGAATTATGCAAACAAACCGGTTAAGTAATATTTTAATGGAATTAAATCAAATAGAAATTAAAATAATATAATCTAAAAAAATAAATTTTTCAATTATAGTTGCATGCCTTATATATTAATAAACAGGTTATTATTATTTATTCCTATGTTTAAAAAAATTGAAAAAAAATTATACTAAGTGATACATTAACAAATTTAAACAGTTTTATTTTTCTGGCTTTAAAAAATAACCTAAAACATTTCATAAGAGAACTTTTCAAAATTATTTGTCTAAAAATGAAATCATTTTCCTAGGGTTATTTATTTGAAAAAAATGGGACAAGTAACTGATACTCTTTATAATTCTACGTAATTTTAATTTCACTTTCTATTAATATTATTTTTAAAATATAGAAGACCATTAGGTATTTATTTCAGTTTCTTATGACAATCAAAAGTCTGATGAAATTTTAGTTCTTACTGATTTTAAATATTTACTGATTATAATTTTATAATAGATATTATTTATGTATATATGTTTCATAAATATAGTAACTAAATGTGTGTGAAAACGAAAAGATTAAAAAACTTGTTCCTTTTTTATTACTGCATTTATATTTTATAATGCTTGAGTTAAAAATTGTGAAACGTTATGTACTTAACATAATTATTTAAACTTAATATAAAATACATATAACGAAATTAAAATAACTTTTTGGATTTATTTCTATTTTAAAGCTTATACAGCACTTTTTAGTAAATATATTTACGCAGTAAAACCTAAAGTTTATGAGCACTAAATGAAAAAAAAAAAACTATTTCCCCGGGTTTTTTTTCAATAAAACCCTACGGGTTGGGTTTTTTCTAAAATACCCGGGTTTTTTCAAGCCCTGTTCTGTACAGGTTACGTTGAGAACTAGTGCGGTTGTGTATTTTACTTTTTTTGCGTTTGTATTAACAGATTAGATTTTTATTCTGTGTGTTGATTTTGAAAGGAAAAAAAAAGTCTTTTTGATATTAGTAAATACGTTGAAAAATATCCCCTCAAATTTCACTGGAATTTGAAAATTAACTTCTACAACAGAAAACGTGTGTTGCTCTGTCACTTTTTCTCAAACTTTTCTTGTGAAATTTTACTTATTTTAAAAGATAGTTTAATAGTGTGGTATAAAGTCTTCTTTCTTCTTCTTTCAAATCCCCAGGGTCACTCCCTCACCACGTTGAGGCAGCCTGCTCGAACTTTGAGGGAGGGTATAAAGTCTAAAAATATCTGGCTAATAAAAGCACGGTTAACGAACAGTATAACGAAATAAATTAAAAACAAAGGAACGAGACAATTAATGAAACACTAGAAAGTTGTTGATTTTTGATGAGAAAAGTTGTTTTGAATTTATGGTTTATACTAACCCGTTACGGACTTTTCCATTAATTTTGCAAGGTTAATACTAACCCATTACGGGTATTTTAATTTAATGTTACTTTGTTTTTGTTTGGTTGACAAATAAATGTGTTTAAAGACTGTTTCTTTAATGTATCTTGATTCGTTCAAGCACTAATGCAGATTTCTAATTTCGACGTTTCTTTAATAGGTTGACGATTATTTAAATTCTAAACAAATCTTAATTGTGTTGTAAAAAAGGTATTGAAACCACGACTGATAGAAAAAGAGTTTCTAAAAGGGTTATTCTGAGACACGCCTAATAGAAAAATAATTTCGAAGCGAAGTCAACTTCTTTTGTTACTTTCCTTGAAACAAAATTACTTGAAAAGTTACTTTAGAGAAAAATAGTTAAGCAGTTTTGAATTTATCCTTTTCGTCCGAAAATTGGAGGGAAAGTCAAATAAATGAATCCATTTTAACATTATAGTCAATTCGAAACCTTCTTTAGTTTGAAGTGTAGAATGTATGTAGAATCTAGTAGTAGTGATCTATATTTGTGATGAAAAAGAGTTCATATTATATACATGAGATGAAACTTAAATTTTTTCTATTTTTTTTCAGATTGTCTCGGTTTTTGGAAACTGCTAGTAGTGTCCTAAATTATTTCGAACCCTTCCTAGGAAGAATTGAAATTTTGGGTAAGCTTTTTTTTCATTCAGTAATTTTGCTGCATAACCTTAAAGCAAAAAAAAATTGATTGTGTTCTCTATGGAGTCAAATCCTATCTGAAGTGCATATTTACTGTATTATCGAAAAGCTAAGTTAACATTCAGATTACTAAGTTAACATTAATCAGAAAGCTAAGTTAACATTCATTATGAACGTATTTTATTTGTAATTTAAAACCTTTGTCTTCTTTCATACGTCTGCGCACCTGGAAAGTCATGAAAAATCGTGGGAAGTCATGAATTTCGGTATCGAACAAAATTTGTAATGAAATATCATGATTTTATCAATTTTTATAAAAAAATCATGGAAAGTCATGGATTTAGGTCGTCGAAAAATCCAATTTTTAAAATGTGGTATTTAATTTCCTGGTGTTCCGAACATCTGAATTTCTAACTAAATCCCCACTCACAGTCATATTTTATTAAAATATTAAATGTGTTTATCAAGTTCTTTAAAAATGATGGCATTCTTTCAAAGAAGGAAAGAAAAAACATCATTTCTAGAGGGAATTATCTTTTAAACTCTTATGTGATTTAAGAATTTTTATTATTATTCATTTCTTTTATTTTATCAATTTCAAATTCTAGCTGAAGCAAGCCAGTCATTAGCGAATTTTTTATTATTCCGAAATGAGAACAGAAAAATCAGGAGTACAATACTTTTTTAAACTTTAAAAAAAATGCACTGTATAACTCAGTCCATTATTTTTAGGTGGTGCTAACAGGATCGAAAGAGTTTATTTTGAAATTAAGGAATCTACAATCGACCAATGGGAGAAACCACAAATCAAAGTAAGATATGTCTCTATCCTTTTAAATAAAATGTATACGTAAGTTACGATTAAATGAGATAAGGGTTTTGTATCCATTTTGGGGTCGCATGTGATACGAAATAATGCTCTCTAACTTTTGATGTAGTGTCACCTACCGGGAGGATTGCTTTAAATATGTTAATTTTCTTATGAATAACTTACTAAATCACACACAAAAATCCACTTTCCTTGGGATTTGAAGTTTTCACGCACACAATAGTCCATCTGGAAAAGAAGGCACCCATAGTTCAGGCGGAACGTTTGAAAATCTGGGAACTTTAATGTTAATTTTGGCTCTAATTACTCTAAATAATAATTACACTTAAACAATAAATGTCGAATTACTCTTAAACAATTTGGCATAGTTCTATCATTTTTCAACATAATTGTAAAAACCGTTTATCTAAAGATAGTTCACTGTAAAAATATTTTTGTTTTACATTTAACTAGTTTAGTTATTTGTAACTTTTGTTCGAATTAAATAAAGGTTGGCAATTGTAAGGTAAACATTACATAATTTAAAATACGTAGCTTTTATTAACAGTTTTGGTGAAGTCCTTGAAGGAATATAAGCCTGTACTCAGGAAGTATTTATCCAATTTCGCAAAAATATTGTATTTTCACATTTGAAAGTACACAGTATCCAATAAAGAGAAAATTTGCAAGTTTTAAAACTTTTTTTTAACCCTCATGAAATAAAACAATGTTTCAAAATCATATTTTGCTTAAATTTAAATAAATGTGTGTAATTCAATTAGTTCTGCCAAAATAAGGGACACAATGACACACATGTATTTACAGCACAAATCTATCAGAATAATTGCTGGTATTTGATTTCATAGTATCATTTATTTATTTGTTTATTTAAAAATTGGAAATATTAAGATTACTTCATCTGATTAAAAGTTATCTAATCATTCCATTCTTTATTTTTAAACCCGATTTCCAATTATTTTATTTCTATTTTAATTATAAAATGTAAATACCGATGTTTGGTGTTGTATTTCACATTGAGTATTCCATTATGTTCAAACGTAGCGTTCCAGAAATCTTTTTACTCTGTGAAACTAAGTTCCTCGTGATATTTAAGATACCTTCTTTTTAATTTTTGGCAAAATAATGGTGAAAATCCACCTTTCGGCTACTTTTTTTCCTTCAAGAGTCCAGGAGTTGGTGGATCCAATCCCCGGCTGCCGAAGACTCCCCGTGTAGTAAATGGTGACTGATGCACGTTAAATCCGTCGAGTCTCAAAGTCCTCCATGTTCCCATAACAAATCAATACCTCTGGGGGTACTGATCCAGGAGTTTCCTTGTCATCTGGATTAGTTTGAAATGACAAGGCTACGGAGTTGAACGTTAGTATTCGTAAACCCAAAATTGAGTCGACTGTTCAATGACGGATATAATATAGAATATAAGAAGTTTCTTGGGATTTCCACAGAACAGCACACAGAAACTTCTTAGTTAATAGAAACTTACACCCAAAACGCTCTTAGGACAACTTTCTCGAACGATTCTGAAGAATGAGGCTTGTCATTGTATTACCCCAATAATTTTAAATAATAAGTCATTGATAATGATAAGACTCGTTCAAAATCAATTTTTGCTCGAAATTGTTTTTAGGTAAAACTTATATTTTGAGCATCGGATGAAGGAAAAAAAATAGTGTGTTATTTCTAGAAAGCTGTTTCATTTCTAGGAATCGAAGAGGGCTTTCTTCTACAGTATTGTAACTGAAGGAGGTGATAAAGGTAAATTGGAGGCGTTCGTTAACTTTTGTGAAGATGCCATATTTGAGGTGAGTGCCTTCCTTTTATAAATGAAATAATTCTTGTTGTTGTTGTGTGAATATTGTAATTCTCATTCATGTTAAATTCTTAGATGCAGCACGCCAGCAGTATCTCGATGGAGGACGAAGAAGAGACTCCCACATGCGCCTCAGCCTATCCATTCCCAGGATCCGATGATGAACCACCGTGAGTATTCTCTTCTTTTAAAGACATCACTGACTGCGGGTGGTTGATCAACCTGCTTAAGGGCAGAGGTATCAGTCCTCGTTAAACTGTTATACCGTAAAGTGCGCAGGTCACCTCGTTAAACTCTGGTATGAAGTAAATAAAATACCTACACCCTTGTGCAAATTAATTGAAACAAACTCAATAAATTCAGAAAACTAAGAGAAAATGCTATTTTATTTAAATTTATGCAAACTCAAAAATTTTTAGTACATAATATGATCTCCACGACACTTTATTAACATTTGGACACGATTCGGCATGGATTCCACTAATTTTTTACAGAATAATATTTGTGTCCTTGTACCACACATGAATTAACGCCGTGATTAGCTTCTCCATAGTTGTACAGTCCATATTTAATAGGCGATTCTTGCCCAGATATTCTCAATTGGGTTGATATCCGGAGAGTTCCCTGGCCATTCCAATGTCTCAATTTGATTCTCAGACGTGAATTTCTTGACAATTTTGGACGTATGGCAAGGAGCTAAATCCTGTTGAAAAATCCCTGTTCCATCAGGGTATCGTTTCTTCAACTCTGGAACAACTTTTTTATCCAGAATAGTAATGTACTGCATCATACCGTCAATAGACTGCGATGTTCCAACCCCATTGTAACCGAAACAACCCTAAAACATCTTCTTTAAAAAACACGAAAAAAAAAGTTTGTTTCAATTAATTTGCACAAGGGTGTACTTACCTTCTTTAACGTCGGATAGGACAGAATTTTGCGTAGTCTAAGATAAGCAGAATCCCGACCCACCTCAGGATACGGAAATTAAAAGTTAAAATATTACGTTAAATATTTGTTGATAGCGAAAATTTAAAAATGCAGTACAATTTTGTCGAATTACAGGATCAACAAACGAAGACAATAAGAAAAAAATCAACAAAAAAGTTGTGATCCCCTATTACGATCACTGGTCAAATGCTTTCTATATTGACTCCGTTAAATGCCACACCATTTTCAAATCATGGGTTGAAAACACTGTCTCGAATTGATCCTGTCTATGTACGTGTTTCAAGACATACTTTTCTTCAGCATTCAGATTTATATTGAAATCACCGTCAAGAGCCAGTCATTATACGTTCATAATAAAAATATAAAAATAATTTGAATTATTACCATGTAAATGCATTAAAAATGCCTGCTGGTGAAAATGAAAACAGCAGCGGTCGCCAAAGCAACGCATGCGCACTGTAACTCTTGAACACAGTTGAAAAGCGCGTGGAAGCCATCCAATCCAAACCAAGGCCAATGGATAAAAACAATCCAATCAAATAAATACCTTCAAGAGTATGTAAGATGTCGAGTCCAAGTAATACATTATGAGTAATAGTTTCAAGGTATCTGTTCCATTCCAATGTATCAGTAGAGATATCACTATCTGTTATACAAATTAATCAATGAGAACAGGTTTGCTTAATTGGCAGCAGAACTAGTCAGTTGTAACAGCGCTCTCATTCTTAAATAGATTCAAGTCTAGGGATGTTAAAATCGAGGCAAGTGTTTAAAGCAATTAATAAGTACATAAAATGACTGGTGTGACTGGCTAGTCTAAATGATGATGTGCCATTAGAATCACTAAAAGTCAGTGTTGAGCTAAAAGTAAAATAGCTGAAAAGTGAAATAATGAAGAAGAAAAACATGATTGAAAATGATTTGCGTAGTCTAAGTTATCATTTCAGAATGCAACTTTTACCAAAGATAAAACTACAAAATTTAAATAAATACATTTGTAACATTAATATAGTTCTGGATGTCACTAGAATTCTTGATGAGTACCAACAATAAAGAGAAAAAGTTTCAGCGTTAGATTATGCGTACATTTCCAATTTATTGATATCAGTTTAGTTCTGGTGACAGTTCGAGTTCAGCTTTGAAGGTTTGACTGTTGCGACTTTTCGGTACTCGAACCTAGTTAATCGATTGATTCCACAGCAGAATCTGCGGTAATTGCTATTTTAATAGAAAGGTTCACTCAAGCGCTGGAGCTTTTTATTTTTTATTATTGGAAATTGTCCCGTAGTGGACTGATCGTTAAGATACGATTGCCAGTAGAACACCGAAGTCAAGCATCACTTTCTGCTGCCAGTGTGAGGGTGGACTACCACTTGGATCAGTCTGCGAAGGGACCGAGGGTGAGCGGTATGGGTTCTCGTTAAACTGTTCCATCGTAAAGTGCTCCACTTCGGGCCCAGGTCACTGGGCAACCAAAGCGGGGGCGCCATCCCCTCTGCAGAGGATCAAAATGGTGATGGTATGTCTTCGGATCATCCTCAGGGATGTTTCCCAGACCGTCGCCAATAGCCCATTGTGCAGCTCTAGTGCTATGTAAATGAACTACAAGTACAACAACAATGACGTTGAAATTTTTAATTTCAAGTTTGTTCCAAAAATCAGCGTCTCTTAAGATTTCTTAACGAAGAGAGATTTATGTCTGGAGAAAGTTATCTATAAGCCTTTTTGTTTCAGGATAAAATTTTCTGGCAATTCTATAGATTTTAATGAATTGCCTTTTTTGTGATTGTTTATATGTTGAACACAGATTCATAACTGAACATACTATTTATATTTTTCCTTATGAGTTGTTTGTGTATTTTTCAGATCTGCATTCGATCCTATCAAGAAAGGTCTGAAATATTTAAAGAACCAAGTGTTTGGTTTGCTGTCGTATCTGACTCCATCAAACATAAAGAAACAAATCGCCATCATGAAAACTAAAACATTCCCAGAACTCATCAAAGGATTTTTCTTCATGCTCTTTTATATCACATTCTATTCGGGTGCTACATTCTATTCCACAAGCAGGTCAGTTCCTTCATCTTTGTTTTATAAGTTCTTATTTATTTCATAGAACTCACCAAACCTTATCCAATATAATTGCTTTCCTTTTTCAATTCCTACTCCACACTCTTCCCCTATATCTTGTTCAAATTTTCGAACATTTATAAAATATTTTTTAATTCATCCGCTCAACTTCAAATACATTTTTTAAAACGTGTTGTGGATGACATTGGATGTTAATACAGTTTTTTTTTCCAAATATTAATTCATTCATTAAAAGTAATTCATTAATTTTAGTTTTATAAGAGAGAAATTATTTATTAAAAAGTGAATAAATAAAAAAATTTCTTTGTTAACCCAGGTAGGAATTGATTTAAATTTATTTTTATATTACACTAGGAGGCTTCGCCCCCTGCTCGCTGGTGCTCACCAACCCCCGGAACTGCCTTCGCAGTTCATTTCGGATTGCTTCGCAATCCGATGCTCGCTTATTGGATACGTTCTTAACGTCTAGCTTTTGTATACTTTTTTGAACACTGAAGTTCCGAAAACTTTTCACTGTAGAAAATTCTAAACCTGTACATTTCAATATTAATTTGAAATTGCAAACAGTTCACATATTTTTCTTAATCACACTATTCTAAATTTCAGTTGTTGAGAAAAGT